ATGATGTCAACCCCAATGCCGACCTCCTCTCCACCAGGTACGTCTCTCTCTTCACCCTCACTCTCCCTTGTTATCCCACACAGCGCCCTTCACCTTCTCTGCGCCCACAGGCAGCCCGGCTATGGCCGCCAGCGCCCTGTGCCCAGGCGGCGCTCTACCGCTTAGCGCCAGCCTGCCCTCCCTCAGCCTAGCGCAGCGCAGGCACACTCGCAATGCAGCAGCATGCCGGCCTTGCTCGCAATGGCCAAGATCCCTGCCCACTCGCCCTCCCTGCCTATATRCCAGTGTTGCGTGTGGGCGGCCTCCCTTGAGCCTGCGCCTGGGCCCCAGTACCTGTACCCAGGCCCAATGCGGTTGGGGCCCAGGAGATGCAGTTGCGCCCCTTTCATCGAGGCCTGCGGCCAGATTCAGATAGTGGATCGGTTTCCCATCGGCATTTTCGGCCTCTATATCCAACATGCATTGTCGGCCTCACGTTTATGTGCCCAGGGCCTAACCAATTCAGGGGCCCTGGGATTTCTGCATTTGCAGAGATCCGATACTCGGTGCACTCCAACCAACTGGCGTGCGGCAACTGTATGGACCCCACTTCGTGAAATGTTTGAACAAAGGGCTCTCGTTGATTTGCTGGCCTGCCCTCACTTAGGGCGGGCACGAGGCTTGCTGGGGGCCTTAGCCCAAAACATGTACGTCACGGCAAGGCCCCTTTGAGGGCTCAATCCTCACATTCCATCCCCCTTAGCTTCGAAAGTCCGCTGAGATGCTTACTCCGCATGTGCCTTCCCTTTTAACATCCTCTCATATTCTGCCACCACTTGAGGAGCTGTGTCAATCAGTTCCTCTTTGGTTAACCACTGATCTTCTTTTGGATCCGTATGATGCCTGAATCTGACACGATATTCTCTCTTGGGTTTGGGAGGTCTTCCTCTACCCAGTGGCTTTGGAACAGACAGGTCTCTGTGATCCACAATGTCGTTGATGTCCACTTGGACATCCACGGTTGGGGGCAGCATCGATCTCCTGGAAGGGAATTGATCTGTCTCAGCGAAAGGTGCAAGCTTTGAGGCATGAAAGATAGGGTGAGTGCGCAGATGACCAAAATACTGAGGCATTAGTTTACGAGAGATTCCGAATTCCTGGCCTAGCTCACTAGCCTTGACCCAGACACGTTCCCCTACCTGAAATGAGGACTGCTGACGATGTTTGTTCTCAGAAGCAATCATTGCTTGCTGAGCTTTCTTGATGTGCTCGACAGCTTGCTGCAGCAACTTCTCATACTGCACACCATACTCAAGTGTGCCTGGAGTGCAGAGGGTCGGTTTTCAGGTAGGAGGAAGTCCAGAGCTGATCTAGGCTTCCATCCCAAGTGCAACTGATTAGGATTAATGCCGGTAATGCTGTGTACAACGTTGTTGTACAGGCTGGCGATGGAGGCAACTTCTCATCCCAATCATCCTGACTGGGCTTGATGTAATGCCTCAGTAGGTGTTGTACAACTCTGTTCATTTGCTCGGCCTGTCCGTTGGCTTCGGGATGATTCCCTGAAGTCATCTGAAGTTGACTGCCCATCTGTTCAGCAATCTTCTTCCATAGCTCACTTGTGAAGCGGACATCTCTGTCACTAACAATTGACTTTGGTAGTCCAAAATCACGCACCCAGTTGTCCAGAAACAACTTGATGACGTGTTCAGTCCTTGCGGTCTCTGGCATGGCAATTAGTCTAGCGTACTTGGTGAATCGATCTATAATGACAAAGATGAGCCTCTTGCCACTCCTACTGGTCACCAGGGTGTCCATGAAGTCCATGGAAACACTCTGTCCCGAACCAGCGGGGATAGGTAAAGGCTTCAGTAACCCAAGCAGTGCTTGAGTTCGCGGCTTGTCCCCCTGACAGACCTGACAGGTCTCAACATACTTCTTTGCATCTTCTAGCAATCCGGACCACCAAAATTGTTGTACTAAATTGGCACTGGTCTTTTTGTAGCCAAAGTGACCGGTTGCGTCATGACATTCTCCTAAGAATAAACTACGCAAACGTTCACCAAATGGAACAACTAACCTTTTAAATCCGGCCTTATCAAGAAAGGGAAGCCCGTCCACCATCACAAACACATCTTTTGTGGCCTTGTCTTTTGCCTGAAGCTTGCGTATGATGTCCATCGTGCCAGGGTCTTCCTGATAGGCTCCCACCAGCGATTGAGTTAGTTCCTCAGATACACCAAACTCGAAAACTAGCGCCCCTAGGTAATCTGCTCTACGGGACAACGCATCTGCAACCTTGTTGTACTCAAGTAGAAAAACCGTCCCAACATAAAGTGCCTCCAATGGACAAGTGCTTTGTAGAGAGCATAGAGTTCCCATTCATAGGTGGACTTTGCCAGTTTCTTAGATGGCATCTTTTTGCTCATATCAATCGGTCTCAACTTTTTCCCATCCTGCGCCAATGTCGTATTGGCTTGCGTCAGTGGTCACTATGAATGGCTTCTGAGGATCGGGCACCATAAGAACCTCATGATTCATGAGTGCATGCTTCAATCGTTTGAAAGCAGCCTCGCACTCATCACTTCAGTCCCACAGTGTGTCAAGTCGAGTTAGATCAGCCAAAGGAGAGGCGACCGTAGAATAGTTCTTTACGAAGTTTCTATAGTAGCCGCAAATTCCTAAGAAAGATCTGACCTCAATAACAGTCTGAGGTCGTGGCCAGTCCCTTATACTAGCCACCTTCGCATCTTCCGGCCTAATACCTTCCGCGGATACTTCATGACCCAAGTATAAGATCTTAGTGCGTCCAAATTCACATTTCTCTAGGTTGACCTTATACTTGTGTTGTCGCAGGAGTGAAAGTACAGTCTCAACGTGCTGTGCATGCTCCTCGACAGACTTACTAAAGATAAGAATATCGTCAAGATAGACAACGACAAACTTATCTAAGTGGTCATGGAATATCCTATTCATGGCATGCTGGAATGTACCCGGCGCATTGCAAAGGCCAAAGCACATCACTACAAACTCATACAGACCGTGTCTGGTCTGAAAAGCAGTCTTGTGTTGATCCTCAGGTCTTATTGCAATCTGATGGTAGCCGGACTTTAAGTCTATCTTGCTATAGTACTTACATCCCTGCACCCTATCCAATAGGTCGTCTATGCGAGGTAAAGGCTTTGCGTTTTTCACTGTGATGGCATTGAGGCCCCTGTAATCAATGCACATCCTCAATGTACCCCCCTTCTTCGGTACGAATAACATTGGAGATCCGAAGGGGGAAGTACTCGGTCGGATCCATCCCTTATCTGTCAGCTCTTTCAGTTGTCGCCGAAGTTCATCCAACTCGGTCGGAGCCATCCTATAGATCCTTCCCTTTGGGGTTATACTCCCTGGAATGATTTCTATGGCGTGGATAACCTCCCTATCGACGACTCCTGTGGGCTCCGTGAACAGATCAGGGAACTTAGCAACGACGTGTTCTATCTCTAGGGGTGTTTTAACGGTCGCCCCTTTCTCAGAGACATACACTAGGTACATACCCTCCTCTTGGTTCTGTTTATAGTAGTTATAGAACGCTGATGCACACAAGCAGCCATAGGTATCGATTATACTACTGGCTTTAAACTTAGTCAGCCTCACTGTTCTTCCATCAGGCAACTTATGCTTTAGCACCTTCTTGTCCCAGTCAAACTGGGGCTTGGCAACCTCAAGGTAGTACATCCCTAACAACATATCGAATGGTAAGTCCTCACTAATCAGGAACGAAATCTTATGATTAAGTTCCCCTCCTCCATAGAAGAGGGTACAAACTACATCCTTGATATAGTCTGTGACAACCATGCGCTCCTTATTGGCCAAAGTAGATGCTTCTGGTCTACTAAGGTGCTGTACCCGGTCCTGTAGGTGCAGCCTCTCCAAGCAGTCGCGACTTATGTAGTTCCGCGTGGAGCCGATGTCTATAAAGGCACCACATTTGCGGCCTCCTACATCAACTTCCACAACGAAATGTTCCCCTCTAGGACCTCTTCTTAGTGCCACCCAAGATTCACGAGGGTCCTTACTTGACCACTCACTTTCCAAATCTTCTAAGGCTTCAGACACATCCAACGTACAGAGCATGGTTTGGTCTAGATGAGTCTGCAGGGTGACTAAAGAGTCATTAGCTATGGCCTGCTTATGAAGTGGGGAGGGTATCTGGCCCACTTCACCTTGAGTAGAAACAGCTAAAACTTCCACCGGCCTCACGTGTTTCCCGAGCTTGAAGCCCGGGAAGAAGGTACCCCAACCTTAGGAGGTATCTTTTGCGTGACCTTTGCGTTTTTGCACTTGTACTGGGTGTGTCCGTATTCACCATAGTTGATGCAAGCACCACGCACTTTACGGTCCCGCCACACTTCTTAATCAAGACCTGCCTTGACCCAATCAGCAATTTTGGTCTGGTTGGAGGCGGCATGCGCTTGACTCTTTTGATGGCCCTTCCCTCGGCCACCTGCCTTAGTCTTTACTACTGCGGCGAGGGTGAACTGTCCAACAGGTCTGTGAGTTCCTCGATCTCAGTTTGAGTCCCATCCGACTCGACCATCATCAATTTACTCCCCTTCTTCTTCCATTCCTGTGGACCCTTCTTTTTCCTCGCGTCTACTGGAGTAGGCTGAACACTTCCTAGAGTAGCCTCTAAGTCTCAAGCTTTTCTAGATAAGGCTTCAAACGAATGATACTCGAGGCGAACCTCACTGGCCAGCAAATTTCGGAGATTCTCTGGGACAAATCTCACAAACATGGTCAATAAGACTTGGTCATCGTAGCGTATGCCAGGAACGACGATGAGGCTCTCTACGGTAGTCGTTAGCTTTCTGACTGACTTGAACTTTCGTTGGTCTAGTCTGAGCATCGCATCAGTGGCAATTTGCGCCTGCTGTGGATTATGCCAGTGAGCTTCTACCATGTCTAAGAACTCTTCTAACGTTAGGGTCTTAACCCAGTCCGCCATGCGTCGTCCGTACCCGGCCTTTGCTACTAATCCATCCAGCCATTTGGCTGCCTTACCCTCCAGGTAAGATGCAGCAGTAATCACCTCCTCCTCCTGCATAGTCCTCTTTGCCCTTACCCACACCGGAACCGTTCTCAACAATGTGTTGGGTTCCTCGTCCTTCTTCTCTCCGGAGAAGGCAAGGGGCGGTTTCATAGGGGTCTTTGGGTACCATTGACCTTGTTGCTGTCCCTGTTGAGGAACAAGTTGTTGCGGTGAGGGTGTAGCTACCACCGTTGACCTAGAAGAAGAAGAAGCAACAGTTTGTGCGGCTGCTGCAGACGTACCACTTGGCTGTGTGCCAGCTTGTACCGGAAAGGGGCCTGACATCGTCGTCAACGGCAACAGCAACTGAGCTGCTGGCCTAAATCCTGGCCTTTGCAAAAGGTCCAAGATCTGGTCCAAAGAGTTCTGCATGAAGTCCAGTTTTCTGTCCACATGCGCATGCAGCGACAGTACGCTGCTCTTCACTACTTTCATTTGGTCAGACATGGATGACTCATTCAAACCCTCTAATGCAGCTTTGTCTGCCTCTAACGTATCAAGCCTGGCTGTTCTATTTTTTATTTCCTTTTCTCTGTCAGTAGCTTGCTTCAGTTCCCTCTCTAACCGCTCACGGATCCTTTCGACTTGTTGCAGCTCTAGGAGCTCCCTGCCGCATGGGGTCAACGGGCTAAACTGCGAGCCCGCCATTTGACTTGTGGACTGACCAGCACGTACTGATCCAAAAGTACTCGCGGGCCCTGAGGGCATTCACAACTGGGTCCCAGACGAGGACGCAGCAGAGGCTGCGCTGTTAGCCATTGCTGCTGCTCTGGCTGCTGCTGCCTGCTCTCTAGTTGCTGCGTTTGCTGCTGCCAACACCTGACTTGCAACTAGTGCTGTTTCCCTGGCTGCTGCGAGAGCGCGGGCTCTGCGTTCGGCACGAAGCCGTCTTTCGTCTTCCGGTTGTAAGGTCTGGAACACGTGCGGGACCCTAAGTGATCTCGAACGTGTTAGTCTCACATCGTGAACTCCACACTCATTGGTGTCCGACCCGCTCATCAGTTAGGCAAACACTATCTGCACTACAACTCCCTGCTGGAGTCTTACCACAGCATATGTCTGACCGGCAACTAATTTTCTAAAAATAATTGTGTTCGGCAGGTCCCCTACTTGACCGATCAAGTGGCAGCCTACAATATTCACAAAATACTGTCAACATAGTTTAGTTCTATCATGAGTAGTTCACTTACAGAAGCTTGCACAAAACTGGCTATGGTAGTATACAACAGTTCTATACTGTGAGGTGTTAGCAGTCTGTCAACCAACTAATCAACAATAAAACCAGACTATGTTGCAGATGTATGAACAGTGGATATAGTTGTGTTTACAATTGAGCACCAATTGGAACCTACCCTCCCCTCAATCCAACATACCGAAGAGCATCTTTGAGCAGCAGTGTCTTCGTGTGTAATGTCGGCCCACCCCTGTGCCCCAAGTCATTGTCGAGCAAGCCAGCCCATCCACTCTTATTTACCCTCGTACGGAATGAGCCTTGCTACCCGGTTTGATCTGGCTGATCAGGAGGGATTTAAGGAGAGCCCCCATCTCGTCAGGAATTATTTAACGTCGCAGACAGGACGACGATCACAGCGAGTATCAACACCGAGTCCCCAGCCAAAAGTATATATAGACGGTCTGGTAAGCGTCTCTTATGGGCTGGCACACCCGAAACGACTTCTATTGCGCAGCAAAGTGCCAAAATGGACAAGCAGCCATCGCATGCGTGACCTACTCCCATTGGGTTGGCATGGTGACCGTGACCCAAGTGCTTCGACCAGGGCCCTTCAKRGGCACCGCCCTTTCTCCTTCCAGATGCTTCCGGGAAGATTGTCGTCTCTCAAGGTAGCGCGCATTCGACACCTCACCAAAAGAGAGGACTCTCAAGTTGGACTCCCTTCCTCATAGTAAGAAGAGATTGAGAGGGTAGATAAGGTAAGGGAACAACGTACCTGGAGATAGCTGCCCCCAACCACAAATTTCCCACCAATTGAGTTGAATGTGCATTTGATGACCGGTCGTAGCCTCGATACCTCCCACAACGCAATGCAGTGCCCCCTTAGCTAAATGCCACATCAGCATGCTCTCATCACCAATCATACATTCCACTGTAACCACGGCTTCCCATGCCGTATAGCCTTCCAGCGCACACCTCTCTACCTAGGTCGTGGGCCTAATGTTGGCCTGACGTCACAAGAACCAACTGGGAAGAAGCATCGTCAGCGCACCAAGTCTGTATAACGCCAGCGCACCAAGGTAAGTGGCGAATCGAACCGGCTCCGATACCAAAATGCAAGGAACATGAATATGGACGAAGCACAGAAATCCAGATTGCAAAATCACACTGAAGTCCAAGTAGTCAAAGCAAGAGCAGATAGCACAATGGGACCGAGTAACCATCCATTTGAGAACGATACAGAAGAATCGTGAGTCAATGTCCAAGCCCAATCGGGCAACACCAACAGCATAACCCAATGTAGCT